ATACGATTTCTGTAGTATAGATCACGGGTCGTCAGCCACTTTTCTAAGCGTTTTTTTCTCTCCCCTTTTAGCAACGTCGTTACTCTACCATTACGCCGAACTCCTCTACAGCTTCCTTTCAATTACACCAAACTTTCGTATGAGCCTCTCTGAGAATTACTTCTGGAGAAGTCTCATCCACATTTTGCAACTTCCAACTTGGCCTGAATTTATACCAGAATATTATTGATACGAGTTTTCTAGTAAACTCACTTTGTACTCGCTATCTGTGTCTTTTCTTCCAGAGTCTCTCTCTCATATTTTACCTCTGAAGTTTTCCATTTTGGAAGTGAAAAATATATTTGCCTGGCAGAAAGAAATGGTCAACTCCACACTTTGCACTTCTATATACCCAACACTCGTGCAGTCTGGTTCCATTATTCTATTTTCCTATATTGTAATAAATTGTGGAGTATATTGTAGTTTCCTTGATAGTTATAACAAAGTGTATTTATGGATAGTTTTATTCTCAAAGTAACCATTCAATAACTTCAATTCATATTGCTCGCACTTAACTACAGCTTTTCTCTATTCCATTCTGTGCGTCTTCAAAAATTTCTCTTATTTCTTACCTATTGTTTTTCTTATTTTCCATTAAAGTCTCTAATTAAATATATTTCTTTCATATTTACAATTTAATTCAGAAGCTTCCTCGAGTTGGTTCGTCAAGTTGGTTTCATCGACAGTTAGTTTAGTCGCATTTTAAAAACCGTATAGAGATAACTGAAGGATTCTGAAAAGCAAAATGGATTTACATCAGGGCGCTCATGAATTGAAGGAATATTTACATTACAAAACTAGATTTGCAAAATGAGTTTGTAAAGGTTTAACAAATCATCTAGCTTTTGTAGACCTACACAGGTCTTACCACACGGTTCCACAAAACAAGTTATGAACTAATTTATATGAAAATGGAATGTTAATAATTAATGTTAGTACCGTAAAAGAATTTTACAGCAACTGTATGATCATGGTAAATATAGTCGATAAAGTTGCCTCAGAATTGCAAGTTACGAAGGGCCTTCGACAGGAATAGCACCGACACGTTTTAAGATCTCTTTAGAGAAAGCCCTTGGAGAGTAGAAGAGGAAATGTAGTGGTTTGGTTATTCCAGACGGTGGTGAAATTATGTATACCCTACTCTTTGCCGACGATGAGGTCATCGTGGCAGAGGATATGGATAAATTGAGTTACATGCTCCATAAGTTGAGAGAGAAATATGAAAAATGAGGTCTCAAGATTACCATGTATAAAACTGAGAATCTGAAAGAGGAAGATGACGAGCTGGAAGATATAGAGATAGAGATAGATAGAAAAAAATAAAGGTTTAAAAATTAGAAATATGAAGGGGTCACTTTATCACCTAATGGTAAAAAGCACTGATGGAATTAATAAGAAAATTGCATAAGGTAAAAGAGCGATACGGCAACTAGTTTTAGCGACGCATATGCAGCAATTAGGATCATATTATAGTCCTTTAATCGTAGGTCTACTCGTAGTATATTCTCATTAATATCATTCCATTTTTTTAAAAGATTTGCTTACGGCGATGGTATGTTGCTCTGCTTTCTTTCTTTACTTCGCTGTAAATGTGAACGTAATTTTGGCTTTCTTTTAAACTCTTTCCTTTCTTTTCAGTTGCAGATAGGGAAGCAAAATCTAAATTTAATCTACTTCTTAAAAAACACATCAGATTCGTTTGTGACTGAGCCTTGCACATTCCAAGTTCCAAACTACATGTTATAATTTCAAAGGCCAAGTCATCGTCGTAGACTAGAATAATTCTGAGGCTTATTGCATGGGACTCGTGCATGTTGAGTTTTTTTCTTGAGCGATAGGAAACAATTCCCACATCTCAACACTTGACTTGGAGGATCAGGGATTTTTTTCTTGAGATTTCCTTACCATAGAGCATGGATGAGCTCTCATCTTATACAAGGTAGAAGCTTTTTGAAGAAGAGAGGTATGAAAGTCTTCTGCCTCTTCAACCGTTGGAGAGCTTTCAAGTATCTCTCCAGTGTTCCGAGCCGATGCCGTCCTCTTCTTACTCTTCACAAGCTTTGGTTCACTCCGGGTTTAATCACCTCGGTACCCACCTGACAAAACCAGGCCGGGCATCCCCCCATCTGCCACATGAGGAGGCGACCGGTGAGGGACCAGCAACGCCACACGGACTTTCTAGATAGTGTCAAAAATCATGCCACTTTGGGACTCAAACCCTAGGACCTCAAAGACACTTCAGTAACATCAATTCATGCCCTGGGCCGGTAAAATGAAGTACACTTACGGGACTAGTGACCGTAACTACTGACGCGTCCGATAACACGAAATAAGCAATCAATCAATCGAGAAGAAGGTGTCAGAGGCAGCCAGTGAGCAAGGAAGCGCATGGTGACAGAGAGACGTACCTTGGTTTCATTGAGGACGCGGGTGACGTTGAAGCACGCCCGCATGTTGACGGTGCAGTCTTTGGTGAGTGTAGCCGTGACGTCATAGTTGCGCATGCGCGATTGTTGGTTACACGCGCGAATGTTAAGGGCCTTCAGCATCATGTTGTTCTGCAAAACAATTCCATTCACTGTGATTAAGGTTCCAATTGGGATTGTTGTTTAAAAATATGAAATTCTCAGACGTGGCTTTGTACAAAGTTTATTGATTCACGCAGTACCCAAAATTGAAAAAAATGTAATTGAGTTAAACCAATTTCGATTCTTTCTTTAGAAAACCTAAAAATTGTAATTTTTTCAAAAGTATTTTGGTTGGCGATAGATAGCAGCTGTCAAAAATATGTGGGAAGTCCAACAGTCTGCGCCATTCTGTAGCACCACTAGTTAATTTTGTTTTTACATTTTCTGAGAGATACTAAGTTATGGAGAATTGCATTACGCAGCATTGTAATGTTAATCAGAAACATAGCGTCCGTTGTTATAATTATTGAATATCTTTTGATCCCATAATTGCCCCAGTTTGTAAATTGGTATACAGTTATGTGATACAATAATTAGCGATACGGTATTTTAAAATAATTAAGACATATTTCGTTCGTAATTTAAATTTTAATTATTAATATAAAATTTTCTAGTGGTAAATATTATAAAAATAAATAAACGACTTACTTAAGAAAGACCAACACTTTTTCTGTAAAACGAAAAAATCCTATTATTAGCTTTCAAGAAGATTGAGATACATTCTTTTAAATTCGACACTTCCCGCATACCATTACATACCTACCTCGAAATGTTCTCTTAGCAGACAGCTTTTCAAGAAATTCTAAAATGGTTAGGTTATGAGCGATTTCGATTTTATTTGTTATCGTTCGTGTTAGATGTTATTTGAAATTATCGATTTTATTTGAAATAACCCAACCATTTTTACTTTCTCCCTCCGGAATGGAGAGAAAGTTATGTAGTGCTGCGAGAAAAAACGATAAATTTTTGGCAGAAAAACTCTTATTACAGCGCCCTGATAACGAGAAAGTGCTTAAAGCCAGTTCCCAAATTTAGAAAAAAACTCTTACACGTGGTGTAGTCAGAATCCATGTTGTGTGGGTCCTTGATGCCGAAAAATCAAATGATGGCAAAACGTTTGCCCGTCCAACCGTCTGTCTGTCCGACCATCTGTCCGTCGGTCGGTCGGTCCGTCGGTCCGTCTGTCCGTCCGTCTGTTTGATTGACTGTCTGTTAGGCTGTCTGTCTGGCAGGCAGTCAGTCCGTCCGTCCGTCCGTCCGTCCGTCCGTCCGTCCGTCTGTCTGTGAAGTGCGCTAGCGGCTAAACCGCCAGGCCGATTTTCTACGAAATTGATTTTCCATAATCGACCTAGCTGATGGCACGATCCTTTGAATTTGAAATCGATATTTCAATTTTGAGGTGTACTTTAGATCAAGCCCCTGAAACATTTTCCAAATTTTCAAAAAACTGACTTCATTTATTTTTTATTAAATTTTCTTGTTGAATAGCGTGAAGGACGTTTAAGAGGATAGTGCAAGTCTTAGCTTAGTTGGAAACTCTGATTTTTTGACAATTGCAAACATTTTAATTTTTTTTCAGCGTCTTCCTGTAACTACAACTCTGAAGATAAAGACTTTTTCCCGTAATGAAATCTGTTCCCTAAAGACAGATTTTGAAATACGTTTATGAACAATGTGGTCAACAACAAATGCGTGCTGTTTTAGCACCACTAGTTTTCCCTAAGGAACATAATGGATAATTAATTAAAATCTTATTACTAATAATTTTGGTCTTCTTGTGTACTTCTTTTTTAAAGTTTCATGTCAAAATTTACTTGATAAAGAGATGTGGCAACATCGGTATTCATATCTTCGAAGCAACATCTCCCTCCATATGAATACAATTGTGACACACGTGACTTCTCGTTAATTTCTTATTCAGTACGATCCGTTCACGTTCCTAAATAGTAAATAATCAGCGAACTTTTGGCTCGGACTTGCGGGGAGCATTCACTTGCTGCACAAGACCGAAGATTTTCATACACGTAAAATTTACCTCATCTCCATGGGAAACTCTAGAGGAAATGTCAAACTTTCATGATGAGAGAACAAAGTGAGGACCTCAGGGCATAAATAAAAGCAAAAAAACTTGAACGGAATATGCAATGACCAAATATTTGATACGGGAGGGTCATGTACTTCGAGTAAACGAGGAAAGATGGCAAAAACGATTATTGAAATACCGGCTTTTTGAGACACGAGTAACACCCCGGGACTAGTGTGGAAAATTATTTTCTTGCTGTCTTATAGAATTCGAGATTACTATTCGCCCTGCGACCTATAATATATATATCTTACGAGACTTTTATTCTGTATATAAAAATCGCAAAAAATGTATTCATTAAAATTTCTTCAAGTTTCGTATTGTTATGCAGACATAAAATATTTTACATGAAAGGAAAACAATGCTCTTTAGCTAGAAAGTGTTTATTTATCTGCACTAAACTTCTTTAAAACATTAGTAGAAAGTGCTGAAACCCTGTACCACTCAGCTGGCAGCCTTTGTCACAATCTATGTTTTACCGCTGTGGCGCCTAGGTAGCATCTCCAAGTTAACCACCGGAGCCGCAGTACAGCCGCAGATGATTCCTTCTTTACGTTTTTTGTTAACTTATGGCATGCTCCGCATTTTATGGCTTTCATGGGTTTTAACATATATCTGTTTGCTTTAGAGTAAGTCACTCTCAGTTAATTGTTCTTTAGGTCTAGGGTCTTATGAAATGCAGGAGACATACCCTCTTTACTGAAACCCCGAAATGTGGGGCCTTTCACCAGGATTTGACCTGTTGCTAGCGTTGCCGGGTGAGATGAGGTGGGGCCGATTGGGGCCGAGCAAGGGGCAAGTTTGAATAAATAGTCAAAGCCGCATTACAATAAAAAAAACTGGGATAACAAACTTGTTTATAAAATAAGTACGTTTCCATTACCCTTGTATAATTCTCTCGTAGAAAACTGCAGCTCGTTACACAATGATAGTCATTATATCACAGCTTCATTATAGTTAAGTGTTTGATCAATCACGGTTTATAAACCATGCGTATGTCTTAATCAGTTACTGATCATCGTTCTATTAAATGTTGCGTTGGGTAGTGAAAGATGCTGTGCCCAGACAACCTGTGTAAAAACGTAATAATAAATTCCCATTTTAATTACAGACGGGATAATAAAAAAGTCAAATAACTTTTTTACACATTTCTGAAAACGAACAAAGATAATTTCCATAATTGTTTTAAACGATCTTCAATACCTCTGAAAGCAACTTTTAGATTGTTGCGTGCTAGTAATGCAAAAAAGTTGTAACACCATTAGTTCACATTTGTCGTTTTGTTCTATATTTTTAATGAAATGTGTTCTTCATAATGAAATATTTAAATAAGGAAATATACATGACTTACGAGTATAGAACAACAGCAATTTTAAAAACACAATTCTCTCAATAATGGCTCCAGATTTTTGGAATATTTTAATCGGAAAAAAAAACTTCGGTTAATATAAATGGCACAGGTTCAATTTGGTTCAACTATCTTCGAAAATTGCCAAAAGTATGTGCTGTTCTAACACCAGTTATAATATTATCGATGGGAAAATAAATAACTCACAAATAACGGCCCTTTTTCTAGAACGATTAGCCACAAAACTCACACATGCTGTACCAAGAGTGGGTACCAGCGCCACGAGCAACAGGAGCAGCAACAGAGAGCGGAGCAGCTGCGGTGGCGGCGCGTACTGCTGTCAGCCCGCAGACGCTCATGCGGCGACGCTGTGGCGACTGGACGCGCGTGCCGGGCAGCCGCGCGCGCCGCAGCACCGCAGCCCCTCCCCCCCACGCCCCCCCCCGCCGCCCAACAGCAGTAGCGTTGTTCTCTTTGCCTATTGTTAGCGTTTGGCAAGTTTTTATAGCCGACGAGGTGAACACCGGATTTTGAACGCAAATTTCCCTTCCTGCGTTGGACCACGCGAATTAATTTCTTCTCAAGGTGGCAATAAAAAAAGTTGAGTGAGTCATAAATCTCAATTTGAGGGGGGGGGGGTATTTCCATAATTGTAATGGGTTAATACTGACTCGAGAATAACTTAATCACATTAGTACGACGCAACAATCATTTCGAAACAGTATCGTAATGTATTAATGGAAACAATCATTTGATTGCTTCTCTTGAAGAAATGTATTTTATGGCTTAGTATTTTTTACCTGTCACTCTAGAATTAGAAAAAATTTTCGTAATTTCACAATTTGTAGAGTAATATTTAGATATGTAGAGTAGCACAGCTTTAGGGGGAGTTCCAGTTCCTTGATAATCATGAAATCAATAAATCGTAAATATGTATATTTGTAAATATTCGCGATTGTAAAATGTAAAATATGAAACAACAAACACTCGTTACTCATAATCGTAAAAAATATTTTTATTTCAACTCTAGTTCCTCATGCATTTTACTTTCTCGCACTTACTTCGCAAGAAGAGAATGATATGGCATCGTGCGTAAGAAGAGAAGGTTATGTAATCTCTATTATGAATATTACTGTTGTAGGAAGACGCCAAAAAATGCACTTTTGCAATTTCCGAAAAATCTACGATTTCAACGAACATTGAACCTGCACCATTCTCTTAAGCGTTCTGTATGTTATTCGAGGACAAAGTTTAATCATCCAATTTTTGAGAAAATTTTCAAAATTTTTTTAGACTTCGGGTAAAGTACTCTCAATAATCAAAATATCCGTTTCAAATTCCTAAAGACTTCAGTTCGTTTATATCGATCGGGGAATATCAATTGTGAAGAAAATCGACTAAACGGTTTAGGCGCTAGTGTGGATCACAGGCGGACAGACGGACTGACGGACAAAAGTTTCACCGTCAATTAATTTTTACGTATCAAGAACCCAAAACACATAGATTCAGACTACACAACGTGTTAGAGAAAGTAATTTACTATGCATTGGGACATGATTTATCAATTTTTCCCTAGTTGGGGTCCGCCAGTAAGAGTTTTTCTGTTTAAAATTCGCCATTTTTTCAGCGGCATTACAACACACTTTATCTCTACTGCCT